GTGGAGGAAGCCATGGAAGGAGGAGAGTGGAGTGAGTGGGGTTTTACGGACATTAGTGCTCTATAATATAAAGGAAAAAGTAATCTAGTTTACGTTTTTTTATTTTGGATTAATGAATTATTAACTGTTAATTACTCTGATAATCATTTTTGGATAATTTGTTCTGCAAAATTATTCCTAGTACTACTACCACCATGTCGCTTGTATGATTTTGGGCAAATAAAATAATAATAGTGTGAGGTTAATAAATTAAGTCACAAAATACAATTTTGATGTTTCATGTGTTTTATTCTCACAGAAATTGGGTTCAATAACTATAAAAAAAATTATAGTTCACTAAATAACTAATTCTCCTCAATCTAATGATCACAATATTGCCATACATATCATTTTTGTTAGATTTTGAATTATAATTATTTTTTTGGTTATTCACCAAATTGACCCTATTAAACAAAAAAAAACAAATTTTTTTTTAAAAAGACCTAGTGTATAACTTATTCATATGTTGTGTTATTATTTGAGTAATAGTTTTTATGATGGAGAACTAATTGTTGTTTTAAATCCTTTAATTATCTTTCTTTAACAAATGATAGATGCTTTTGTGGTTGTGGATAGTGGAGAGATATATTAATGAAACGGCAGCGTTTTACGGGGGGGGGGGATACTGCGAAAATGAGTCATTCTTTTGTGTATTTTGTATTTGAGTGTGTTTGACAAAAAGTGGACATGGGAACTGAGGAAGTCACTTTTTGTCCAGGAAAAAAGGTAACTTATATAATACGATTTTGCAAACCATTGATTTTGTCAATAAAACGATTAGTAATCAACGAAACATTATCATAGATACTTGTATTAATTACCACTAATAAGCTTTTTAAGTATTTTGAATTATTTGTTGTCTTTGTATTAATTTAGTTTTTTTGGTGAAGGAGCGGGACTTGAGAGGAGGCAGAGAATCTGAGTTTGCTGCAATTGGACAATAAAGCAACGCATCAGAAACTTTTGGGATCCTTAATATTACTATATTCGTCAATTTATAAATTACCCACAACGGCTATATATACATTTATCAAAGTGGAAATTTCCAATTTAAATAAAGCCCATATGAATATAAGCATTGGGCTACTCATTTTTAATCTTGTGTATGTTTTTAGTAGCCCATTTATGTTTTGGTAGGCTGAATTGAAATATGACTGATATAAAAAAAAAATTTCAATCTCTACGCAAGCTTCAAACATCACAATTCCTAATACTGATATATTTTTCAGCCTACCATCCACAGTATCGTATCTGGAGAGAACGAAAAAATAGACGTCACGGCGAATATCCAACCTTTGCTACACATCGACTCATAGAAAAAAACGTGAGAAATCGATTATCATGGATTCGCTCATCGGGAAGTCACCAATACGAGGATGGCCTCGTGATCTGGTTTGCTTCACGCTGAATACTCAATCAGATATGCTGATTATCTACTCCTAATGTTGTTCCTACGGTCTCAAACTTCTGAACAATAGTTGCATCTATTGTAAAGACGTTTTTTTGAGTTGGATAAATTTTACATTCACTTAAAAATAAAAAAATATTTGTTATGTATTAGATTGATGAGACTTTGTAACTGAAATGATTTGATGTTTACTCTCATAAGAATTCATTTTCACCAAACGTACACTTACTAAGTAGATAATTTGATGTCTACACTAATCTATGTCTTAGATACATTTGTATTTGTTTTGGGGATAAAGTTAGCGACTTTTGTTATATCAAGTGAAGGAAATTTCATTTGATTAAAAGAAAATTTCATATTTTTTTTCCTTTTCAAAAAAAAAAAACATTGATTATTTTGTAATTTATTATAGTTATCAAAGGAAATATGTCAAAAGGTTGCAATGAATAGTAGTAACATTTACAATCGTTCTCACGCATCTCATCCTTACACAGCTTATCCACTTTCTTGAAATGTCAAGTATCTTGGGAATAACCAGCCACAAATGTCAAGCATGGCTTGGACTTATACGTTGCCCTTACTTAACCCATGCTTTTACCCACAAGAATGGAGCAAAATATTTAAATTAAAATAAAAATCTACAACAAAAGTCAAGTATATGGGATAAAAATTTAATGCATCTTCTAACAAGTAAAGATTAGACTATAACATTCGAGTAGAGTAAACAACTTTGAAAAGGTTTACATTTTGTAATAGGCATATAAGAGATTCCACAAAAGATACTACATATCGATATCACAACATCGTATTCAATAGTCCGAAAACTTATATATAAACTTGGAACTCGTAGAAATCAACTTAAGGTTGAATTGAAGGTTATGGAAGATTTATATGAAATTAAGGCAAAGGTTTACTTAAAATATCTCCATTGAGTAAACTCGACTTCAGAAGAAATTAAGGTGATGCACATGCACCTATATTGGGAAGTTAGACAAAATAAGAAATCTGTTCATCTCACAGCTAGAAATAATGTTCTTGATATATTTCAGCTGATTTCATTTCATTTCCAAAGTACTAAAGTTCAAAACCCTAGTGTTTAAACCCAAGAAGTCATAACCAATGCTACTACTAATGTCGTTTGAAGAATAACTGCTACTACTACTCTCTTCTGTTTGACATTTCACATTATCACAGCTACACTCCTTGCCGTTTCCCAATCCAAAACGACACGCATTGCAAGAATACTTCTCTCTCCCAAACCGTAGTAGTTTCGTCTCATCATGGAGCTGTTCTTGCCATGGTGGACTGATTCTTAGCTCAAGATTCAAATCTAAGCAACTTTCTTTTTGCAAATCAGTCCCAAAAATTTCCTTTTTCTCCAATTGAGGACCAAAAGAAAGAATCTTTACAAGCGAGTCCTCTGTTTCTCTAGATTCAGACGAATCTTGAAGAGTTTTGGTCTCGTTGATGGGTCGATGAGTAGTGGGATCAATCCCTCTTCTTAAAAGCTTTCTCTTTACATGTGTATTCCAATAATTCTTAATCTCGTTATCTGTTCTTCCTGGTAATCTCGTTGCAATTAGAGACCATCTAAAAAAAAGAAACCAAAAAACAGAGTATAAGAAACAGAGCATATAACAATTTCTTGAAAGTTGTGTGTGTGAGTCTCACTTGTTTCCAAGAAGGCTATGGAGTTTGATGATGAGATCGTCTTCTTCGAGGGTGAAATTACCCCTTTTGAGATCAGGTCGGAGATAGTTAATCCAACGGAGACGGCAGCTTTTACCACACCGGAGAAGACCGGCGGATCTAGGAAGAGAACGCCAACAACCTTCACCGTGAGATTTGATGTAAGAGATGAGTTTATCGTCTTCTTCTTTAGTCCAAGCTCCTTTGTTCGTGTGGTCTTTCTCACAACAAGGAGACCTCCCCATCTTCTTGGTTTCT